TATATATATAATATGCATATGTATAGTGTAAAATGCCAGTTAAAGTAGGGAATTTATTTATAGAAATAATGAATAACAATTAAAACCAAAAACCCTGTGCATGTCCAACATATTCACACTGTCCCAGTTCAAAAGTTACTGCCCTCACTAATTTTTCCGAACCTGTTTTAGTTATCAAAAAAGAAAAAAAAACTAATTTCTTGTCTTTGTGTTCACACAGGAGTGAACGGTATCTCTGACATTGTACCAGCAGAAGCTCCCTCAAATAAATTGCATTGCAGTGAGAATGAAAGCCCACCCGTTGTTCACAGCTGCTCGGTGTGCGGTAAAGACTTCCCTTATGCCTCGAAACTTCAGCGGCACCTGCGCACTCACTCAGGAGAGAGGCCTTTCCCCTGCTCCATGTGTGAAAAGAGATTTCCGGAAAAGGGGCTCCTCATAATTCACCAGAGGGTTCACACCGGAGAAAAGCCGTTCCCGTGCACTTTCTGTGAGAAAAGATTTGCCAGTCAGGGGGAGCTCCGGCTGCACCGGCGAACACACACCGGCGAGAGACCCTACCACTGCTCCATCTGTCCGAAGAGCTTTTCTCGCCACTGGCACCTGAAGACGCACCTGGAGGCGATGCACTCTGAGATTGTGGCAGGTTTCACAAGGAAGAAGTTTCCTTGTTCCAACTGCAACAAGAGCTGTAACTCGGCGGCTGAGCTGCGGGACCATCAGAGGACTCACACTGGCGAGAGGCCCTTCCAGTGCTCGTTCTGTGACAAGCGCTTTGCCTTGTCGGGGACACTCGTGAGACACGAGCGTCTCCACACCGGTATCACGCCGTACCACTGCTCTGACTGTGGCAAGACGTTTGCGCAGCAGTGGACGTTGACCACGCACATGCGAACTCACAGGGGAGAAAAACCGTACAGTTGCACGCAGTGTGCAAAGTCGTTCGTTGCTCCGGGGGAACTTCGGAGGCACTCCAGGATACACACCGGGGAAAAGCCGTACACCTGCGCCGACTGCGGCAGGCACTTCTCGTTGGCAGGAACGCTCAGAAATCACAAGCGGTCGTGCACACAGAGCAAGAACGAGATTGTTACTGGTGTTGTATCAGCGACACAAGCTTCATCAGAGGATTCATCCCAGCAAGAAGAGACCAGCTGCAAAGTACAGACATTAAACCCTTCAACCCTGGTCTTCATGACCCATTGTCCTGCATGTTTTTAGCTGTTTCCCTGCTTCGACACAGCTGATTCAAATAATTAAATTACCCACTCAAAGCCTGTCAGTCACTCATTTATTTCAGTCAGGTGTGTTGAAGCAGAGAACTACCTAAAACATGCAGAACAGTGGGTCATGAGGAACAGGGTTGAAGACTTCTGCCTTTAAGCACAGCTTCAAATGAAAACTTTCCTTTTATATCAGCTTGGGTTGTTTTCTTTTAATGTGCCAGGTATCTGACAACCAGACATGTCCTAGTGCAGCTGAGCCCCTGTCCTCACAGGATCTAAACTGTGTCAAAGAAGATCAGCCCAAATTTCTACAGAGAGAACCAGTCAACCATACAGAGGACAGCGTTTCCATGTCCCACATCAATGTAATCGTAAAAGAGGAGGAGGAGGAGAAATTTTTATCTGGTAAGTAAAAACACTTTTCTGCTCTCCTGTGAATTAATAATTTGGACCTTTTTAAATATGGAGTTATGAGTGTTGTATGTTTCAGATAGCAAACCAACACACACACACGTACACATAGCTATCATTTTTGTTAAAATTTTTGTTCCTAAAATTAATGTTCAGTTTATATTTTTAAAAAGTTAGTTTTTAATATTTTTTTCTTTTACATCTTTTAAGCATCTGTGCTTTTTAAAAAAAATATATATATATTTTAATCACCTCACATCACAACAACCCCTTTCTTGTTTTCTTTTAGTCTTCGTTCACACTGCAGGTAAATGTGGCTCAAATACTGTTGTTTTTGGCTCTACGCCTCATATTAGAGGGACTCTGAATGCTAATGTCTCATTTCATCGGACTACTCGGGTAACGTCTCTGAGGTAGCAGTGAAAGGATTGGGTCGATCCAAGAATTGAAAACGTTACCTGATGGATGTTTCAAACGCAGAACTCTGCATGTTTTCAGCTACAGAACAAACGTCCAGCTGCTTCGTCCTTGTTCTTTTTACTTCACTTGTCCTGGATGACTGAAAATTTACAGCAACAGATGATGCTAAATTAGCGTTGGACCGTGTCAATAGTAACATGTTGGAATCAATAGTCTAGGTTTATTTTATCTTCTGCTCGAAGCTCCGCCCCAAAGATAAAATGCTGCGCCAGAGAATCCATCAAGAGTCAAGGGCTACGTTCACACTGCAGGCAAATCCGACCCAAATCCGATTTTTTTTGACCCATCTGACTCATATCCAATTTTTTTTGTGACAGTCTGAACGAGACAAATCCGATTTTTTCAAATCCGACCCAGGCCGTTTCAGTATGTGGTTTTAAATTGGATATACAGTATATCTGATGTTTTCAAAGTGACTGCAGTGTCAGTGAGGATGGGGTGAAGGATCATTAAGACACTAACSTGAAGTCTCGTTGTTTAAATCTGTAGCTCCGTGTGTTTACAGCTCCAAAACACAAGTCCAGTTGCTTCGTCTTTTTACTTTTCATTTTCCACGTAGATAGTATGATAATAACGATGTCCAGCCTGGGTCGCGGAGAGTATCGATCCCAAAGTTAGCTACTCGGTCGATACTTTTTTTTCCAGCTCGTAGTTTCGTTCAAAAAAAAAAGAGCTTCACTGGAGCATCCCGGTCAGAGGCAGGTTCAGATATAAATACTGAACTAAAGAAGCGTGTCAGATAATTATTTAATCTGCTCTGATTAAACAACAACTTCCGATTCTATGTGCAAAATGTAGCATCCATGCTAGCTCTGTAAACAAACAAGCCGGCTGATGAGACGTCACGTCTTTTACTGCGCATGCGTCACATCAGCGCTGTGKAGCGTTCACACAGGGGTCTGATGCAGGTCGAATTTAAAATGTAATGTGAACGTTCACACAAAAAGATCGGATTTTTTCAAAAAATCGGAACTGAGCATTAAGACCTGCAGTGTGAATGTAGCCAAGGTTAAATGTGAACGCTGGCTGGACCGAACGAGCATGTCGGATAATAGTTTATTCGCGTGTGATTGCACAGGAACTAAGGCTGCATGATATTAGAAAAACCTGCGAAGTGCGAAATTGGTGCTTAATATTGCGAGGATGATAGGATTAGCGATAAATGAACAAATGCCAAATACATAATTATGTAGTTTTTATGTCTTTCTGCTCTTGATTCAGAGCAAAAAAAAACCATAAAAAAATCATTTTCATTCTGAAATKATTTTTTTATGAAGGGATCCATCCAACTGGCCAAATATATTAAGAGCTCTATTTGATTGGTGAAATACTTCAAACTTCCATCTGAGTGACAAAACTCGAAAATGCAAACTTTGGAGCCAACCATTTATTGCAGTTTATGCAGTTGTTGCGATATGCATATTGCACAGGCTGCTATCGTGATGACGATGAATTTTCAATATATTGTGCAGCCGTAACAGGAACTTCAGAATCACACAAGCTAACGCATGTAACGTGTGGCTAATGGTGCGTTCACACCGAACGCGATTTCAGYGTCAAAATCGCAGCCAACGCTGAAGTTTGAAGCTTGTGCACTTTGAGGTCAGACGCAGGACAGCTGCGCTGCACGGCGACAGCCGCCCCGCCCCTCCCTCCTCTGTGGGGCTGTTTAATGTCGGACGAGGAAGTGGCTTTGCTTTATTTACAGAGAGCCAGAACGTGTCACGTTCATCAGATAATTAATTCATAATTAATTCACCAGATAATTCAGAGTAGAGGCTCACAGCTCGCTTTCAGGACTATTTTTTTCAGTCTGATGAGTCGCTGTCACGCATTGCTGCGGATCAGGACACGACTGCAGGCACTCATTTCAGCTAAAGAGCAGGAGCTCTGTCTGTTTCAGGTTAGTGGACATCATTCAGTAAACTGTCCCGTCGGGAAATATGTCACTACGTCACACAGTGGAGTCTCTCTGATTGGTTGACGCTGCGCGTCGAGCTGCAAAAGTTCAGATTTTCTAACTTCAGCGATTTGGACGATTTGGACGATCTGAGCGTTCGACGCTCAGATCGTCCAAATCGTTCAAATCGCGCTGCTCTAATCGCGCTTGAGGCGCCGCAGAACTTCCCGACGTTGCTTGAAGCGCGTCCACCATAGACTTTGTATGTAAACCTGCTGCTCCTGACGCTGAAATCGCGTTCGGTGTGAACGCACCATAATTCCTCAAACAAAGCCCGCTGCGTGTGACGGCTTCCTTTGCCCACAACGTGTTGCCTCTGAATGTCTGGAGGAGGTCACATTTTAATAATAATTGGAAACACCATGGAAAAAAAATATCTGAGCAAACAAAAATTTAATCTAAGACCTGCAGTGTGAATGTATTATTTCCCTACTTCCTGATTCACATCGCGCACCCCTCCAAAACCAGTGGCGCCTCCTAGGGGCCCCACAGTTTGAACACCCCTGGTCTAAAACAACCCAGACCTCAAACAAATTAAAACTGTTCAAGTGAATGTTGTATTTTAAACCGGTAAGATACATTCCACTTGTGTCTTCTCCACAGAAAGCCACTTGAAAAAATGAGAGCTATGTCTTTTATCGAGACTGTTTGCCATTTATGATGTGACGTTTTCTTCCTAGCAGAAGAAACTTCAGAGCAGAGATCTGCTGGTGAGGACTGTACCACACGAGAGGAAGCTGAAGAACAGCAGCAGGAAAGTAACACAGATATCAAGATTACAGTGAAGGAGGAAGAAGAGGAGGAAACTGTAAACGGTGAGAGAAATATCTCACAGCAGGTTCTAATGTGATTTCTTACTGTGTGTTACTGAATGTATTTACCACTGGTTATTAACTTAAATCAAATGTAATATTACTTTGGCCTAGATCAGGTGTCTGCAATCTTTACAATCAAAAGAGCCATTTCTGCTCTTTGACTCAATAATAAAATGTGTCTGGACCTGCAAAACATGCTGCAACTGTGATTATCAACTGGTGGCTCATGGGCCACTGGGGGCCTTTATGGCCTGTGTGGGTGACATTATAAAACTAAAAATATAGAGCAAAGTTTAGTGTTGTTATTTTTACACTTTAGTACAATAAAAGGAAAAATACCATATTTATGTAAACAAGAAAAATACTATATAGTTTATACTAAATTAAATAAAAATTACAACTGACTTGTGCAGACATACTGTATAATTATTTCTAATTCTTATCTTTGAGGCTGGAAGTTGGATTATTGAAGTTGCTAACAGGCTACTAGCATGATCTAATCAACATGCTTCACTTCTTGCATTAGCAGTATTGATCACATATTTGAAAACAAATTGACAGGAAAACTGCTCATTTAAAATTTAATTTCATGTTAGTTTTGGTCAAAGCTGCAAAGGGACCAAGAGCCACATGTGCCCCAGAACCTCATGTTGCAAACCCCTGGCCTAGATTGAGCAGTGTACTAAATAACTGGTTTGAATGGTTTTGAATTAGAAGTGAAAAAATACAGTAGTATTTTCTATATGTGTTACAAGTGATTTTATTGAGGTTGAAGTTTTAGAGTTTTTATTTCAATAGCTCAACCTAAATTTAATTAAGGTTTAAGTACAAGCTGAATGCTATTTCTTATTAAAGCAAGCAGTAGACTGCTATTGATTGTTCTAATTGTCTCACAAAAAACTTTTATTTTTGTATCTTTCCATTCACAGTGTCAGAACACGAGGCTGAACCAGCCACTGACAATGAAAAAGATGAACCTCAAGAATCAGCAGTTCAAAAGCAGCACAACGGCAATCGAGCAAAGAACTCTTATTGCTGTGGGCTCTGTGGAAGAGACTGCCACAAGATGTCAGCGCTTCAAATCCACATGCGAATTCACTCTGGTGAGAAACCATACCAGTGCACACTGTGTGGGAAACAGTTCACACAGAAAGGTCAACTCAAAGGTCATTATAAAGTCCACACGGGTGAAAAGCCGTTCTCCTGCCCRGACTGTGGCAAGAGCTTTGCCCACTCTGGCGCCATGAACAGACACAGACTCACACACACGGGGGAGAGACCTTATCACTGCTCCGTGTGCGACAGGAGCTTCAACCAGTCCGGCCGCTTGAGGGAGCACGAGAAAATTCACTTTGGTGAGAAATTTGACTGTCCCGAATGCGACAAAAGTTTCACTCGGTCTTCGAGCCTAAAGAATCACATCAGGCTTCACACCGGCGAGAGGCCTTACGGCTGCGACATCTGCGGGAGAGGCTTCAGTCGCTCGCAGAGCCTGAGGCTACACAGGCGAAAGCACGGGCAACTTAACGCGGACATGGAGTCTTCAGTCTCCGCGGAGAATGACGACTTCTCCCTGAGTGACAACAACTCTCCAATTAATATGTGCATTACGGACAAAAATGACTGTGACACATTTACATAACCAGAAAAGTGTCAGTTTAATACAAGATAAATTAAGGAATTGTTCTATAAATAGATTGTTAAACTTGTATGTGGTGCTTTATATCAAAAGCATTAAAGTATTTAACTTCCTGAAATGTTCAGAGTTGTTCATAAATTAAGAAGTAATTTCCTGGAACTAGCACTGTCAACATGATTGCAAAAAATGTTTCTGTATTAGAAAATCTGTAACATCCAGCGACGACGAGGGCATACTCTGATAAATCATTCTCATGTTAGATACGTTTCACTATTGCACTCATGTTTCAAGTATTATGGTAGTACAAATTAAGTCTGTAACTTTACTTTGTTGAAGCAGTATTTGTCATTGAACTGTGTATGTGGGCCTAAGAAATAATTGTTTTGTTATGGTGGCCGTTAAGCAGGTTTAACTATCCTGTAAGGCTGAAATTCATTCTGTGAGGAAACTACCAAGTGATAAAAAATACATTGTGACATGTGTCAAACACTATAGTAATGCCTTGATAACTTTTTTTTTTTACTTAAATTGTCTTTTAAGGTCGTGATCTAAAAAGGAAATAATTTAGAGCCATGTAGATGAGAAATATACCTGTATGAGATGTGTTATGAGGAACAATAAAAGTATTAAGCATTGTGTTCTGATTGTTGTGCTTACAGGAGTGAGGTTATTTCGCTAAACTCTGACTTTGTTATATTAGAAGTGAACTGATTTTCACTTTAGGAAGCTTTAGAAAAATAAGCTATGAGCAATTGTGGCAGCCAAATTTGACTATACTGTGACCGACCCAAATGAGCCAGAAACCTGTCGTGTATTGACTATTGGCCTAAATTAAATGTTAAGTTGCAAATCCAAATGCTGCATTTATTTTTGAAACAATATTTTTGATATGTAATGGTTTTTCTCTTTGGGCAGGAAAGCTGTGGAAGTCTGTTCACCATTTTGGTTAAAGAAAGAAATACTCTTAAGTCATAATTATGATATATTTATAGATCAACAGTTTATTTTATGTAATTGCAGGATGAACTGCATTGGTTGTGTAACTATTTTATGTACACCTTAAACGTGTGCATTCAGAATGAGACTTGCATCTCATTGAGTTTACCTGTAGCCATAAATAAATATGAAATAATATACTGTATATGAGATAGCAAAGTAATAATATTTCAGAGTTTGGCTTCTATAGATTACAAACAAAACATGTTATCGGGTTCTCACATAACTGCAGAACCACAAAAGGTTTTGACAGAGGCTCGGTTTCAAGCTTGAGCTCTGCGGGCCACCGTAGACGCAGTAAACTAGTTGTGTTTACCGACGGTGGTAATTTGTAATACAAAACACTTAATTCGTTAATGTTTATTAACCAGTAATCTCAGTCATAATATACATAAACTTAAATATGTTGACACGCATTCATGGCATCGCGTTTCACTTCTAGAAAAATAAGTTTGTTGGAAGCAATGACGTATTACGTGATATACCTCATTGGTTGAAGGGTCCATAAACAGAAATGATAGAAATTCCGAGGGACATTGAATGCGACATGTGAGTAAACACAAGATGCAGCGGATCGGTCGGGTTATCTGCGATAGAAAAGACCTCACTGCCCCAGTAGTTGTTTAAGAAGAACCGTTTTTCGTGTATGCTGTATTTCTTTCACTTTCAGTTTCAGACAGTTTCAAGGTAAGATGTTGAAATTGTCTCCCCTTACAGCTAAAGCAGTCACTTTACTTGAACTTTAGCTAAAGTTAGCTAACGCTAAGCTTATTCTGTAATAAAAATGCGTTTGTGTGTTTTCACGGACTCTTTTCACTGTAGTACTGACTGTGTATTACTACGTGCAGAAAGGCAGATAGGCTTACARTCTGGAATTAATTTAGTGTCTTCATCATGTTTGTTATTAGTCTTACAACTTAACGCACTGACAGTTCTGATTTTGTCCTTTTATCTGTTAATTTAACATTTGCAATGAATGTAAAAGAAAGATTATTATGTTAAGCTCTACAATAATCTATGATTCTTAAATCAAATATTTTATAATAACATTATAATTAGACATGTATGTTTTTAGTAAATTTATGCAATTGGATWGCATTAATCATAATGCAAACGCCAATAAAACCTTTGTCCTCATTTATGTAACATGTGACATTACTTTTCTTTTTCACTTCTGCTTTTTATCTGTTTGACAGACACATTAACACGATGGTGTCTTACAAAAAGCTGAACCCTGAAGATGTTCAGTTTTCCAGTACAGTTTTATCAGAAGAGTCTCGTCCGGCTCAAGAGGAGGTTGCAGTGAGTTCATATCAGGTTTCTTTTTACTGCTGCTCTATCTGTCTGAGGGAATAAGCAGAATAACTCAASTTCTTTTAGTCTACATGTGAGAGTTTGTCTAAAACCCACTGAAACAGTTTTATTAGGAAGAGATGATKAAGCTTTATTGAATAGGGAAAGCTTCCTCATTTGAAGCCATACTAGTCAGAACAGAGCTGATTTTTTAAAACTTGTAGAGTTGAAAGTCTTAAAGGTGGATTATGGATGTGTAGGTTTTGTTCAATTTGATTTAATGCCGTGTTTCCAGGTGCCAGAGCCAGAAAGCACCTCCTTGCTCCCACGTAGGCCATCGTGCTCCGTCACTACAGCTGTGGTGATAATCGGCTGCCTCCTGCTGATTCTTGGCGGAGGCTGGCTGGTGCACACCATATACTGGCTGCACAGTCCGTCCAGCCAGCCTCAACATAGACCTCCAGCTCCAGGGCAGGCACCGGACTCCAGATTATCAGTCGAAGTGAGAACCCCCGCTGCTGCTTCTCGCAGCGAGGCCTGCAGTTTAATCCCAGATGCGTGGAGGTTTGATTGCTACCCTGAAAGGGGTGTCGTTGTGACGCGCCAGTTGTGTGAGGCGAGAAACTGTTGCTTCATCCCGGCTTCCACTTCCTCTGCCGGCCGACCACGGAGAAATGGTATCCCCTGGTGTTTCTACCCTCTGGACTTCCCTTCCTACTCGCTGGCGTCACTAAATGACACTTCGACGGGCCTCAAGGGCACACTTGTGAAGGAGGTGAAGACTTACTACCCTGGAGACATCCTCGCTGTAGGTTTGGAGATACGACATGAGACAGACACAAGACTGCGTGTCAGGGTGAGTAGAGTATTCAGACATTTAAACCATTAAACTCCTAAGTGTGCCAAAATACCTTAGACCTCCAGATCACTTCAGATCAGCGTAAACTTTGTTCCCAGCTCTTGTTGCACAAACTGATGTAACAATGGGTATCAGTTGACTGCTCATCATCTTTATCACTCAAATCTTTACTTAATGATTTTTTTTTACCCAACAGAGGTTACTAAAACAGTTTACAGATCAAGCTGTGCTCTTGTTTTCTGTTTACGTCAACATTTTGTGGTTGGTTTTTAATTAAGTTAAATGGTTTTGAAAGCTTTTTCTTTGTTACTTTATTGATCAGATGTTTGCTTTTCCACTTCAAATACCAGCAAAGTCCAATCCTGGTACTTAAGGGCCACTATCCTGCATGTTTTTGTTGTTTCCCTTCTCCAACTCGGCTCATTCTGTGGCTGTTGTCATCAAGTTCTGCAGAAACTCATTGCTTGTTCACTCAACTGTGTTGAAGCAGAGAAACATCTAAAACACTGAACACAATGTTAATATCGTTCATTCTCCAGCATGTAATTTTGTTCTCAATATAGATAACGGATCCCTCGAGTCCACGTTTTGAGGTCCCGATCTCTGTCCCCACTGTGACAGAGAAGGCAAAGAACCCGGAGTACGTTGTAGAGTTTTCAAAGCAGCCGTTTGGTCTCATCGTGAGGAGGAGAGCTACAGGAGTCGTGCTGTGAGTTTGACTCCAATAAGAAACTTCTWATTCAGTGATGCTAAGCTCAGACTTTAGTTGTTGCAAGAGGAGGGCCTCAGAGTAAAAAAAAAGTTGGGTAGTACTATTTTAGCTAAAAATCCCCCCTTCCATCTTTTCTTAACCTCGTGACATTTTTAAAAAGATCAAAAACAGCCTGTAAGGTGACAATAATTTTTATTATTTTGAGTTTTTGGACTATGCAGCCAGATCCACTATGTACTAGAAGGTTTTTATTATTTTTGAATGACCTTTCAGTGTATAAATGATGCAGATTCTCTGCTCTGCTTGATTTTAGTCTGAACACCACGGTGGCTCCTCTCTTCTACGCGGATCAGTTCCTGCAGTTTTCCACCTCCCTGCCCACTCAGTTCATTTACGGCCTGGGTGAGCACCGTTCCACCTTTTTGCACGACTTCCACTGGAACACCCTCACCATGTGGGCCAGAGACGTCCCCCCTACGGTAATCACAGGCTTCGTTGTTCTCATTACATGTTTTGTCCTGTTGTAACATCAGTAAAAACACTGCAAAAACTGTCCATCTTACCAAGTTTTAAAATCTTATATCCAGCCAAAAAGTCTTTTTGATCTTGTTTTGAGACTGATTTACTAAAC